GTCCCGGATCCGCTGATGTTTGCCCCGGCCCCGGTTAAGCTGATCGTACTGGTACTGCCTGTAAATGCACCATTGTTGATAAAATTGCCCGCGAGGTTATGGGTAAAGCTACCTCCGTTAAAAGTAGTAGCAGTACCAATACTAAGGTTACCGCCAATGGTAAGATTGCTGCCACTGGTAAAAGAGACAGCAGTACCGCCCCCCTGCGTTGCACTAAGGTTGCCCGCTACGGTAAATGCCGTAGCCGGAAATGTTTTTACAACCGCGCCTGATGAAGCGGTTAAGCTAAGGTTGCCATAGGTTTTGGCTGCGATGGTCTGATTGGTGCCGCCATATTCAACTGTCGTATTTATGCCTAGCACGCTGTACGTATAATTGGCCGGAAAGGTGCCGGTGCCACCTATTTTCACCGAAGCAGTACCTTCTATCCGGAAGCTGCCGCCTGCAACCGCCGTCCCGCGGTCTGCTTTAAACGAAGCCATATCCAGCACCCCTGCATTGACTTCTATATTGCCGGTATTAGCTGTTGTAGCCAATAATGGCGGCAAATCTCCGGCGAGTGTTTTGGTGCCGGCACCACTTAGCCGGAGTGTTGCATAAGTAAGTGTATTGCTGATGATCTGGTTATTACTGGTTGCTGCATATTCAACAACACTACCAGCACTAAGGGTTATGGCGCCTGAAATATTATAATTACCGGTAAAGGTTGATGCGGTTATTTTGAGGATGCAGTTGTCGCCCACAAAGAGTGTTGTGCCGGTAATGGTGTATGTGGGGGATTCTGATGGATGTAAAATGCCGTTTAATTGCAGGAAGCTGCCGGTGCCGGCTATGGTTACATTAACCCCCAGGGTTACCGTGCTGGTAGCAGCGATTATCAGCTTGCGAAAAGTAGTGTTGACACTGCCGCCAAGCGACTGCACGCTGCCATTGAAAATAAGCGTTGCATTGTTGCTGCCGGTTGTATAAGTACCGCCATTGTTCCAGTTGCCCTTCAGCGATAAGGTAGCGCTGTTCTGGAGGATGGTGCCGTTGCTGTTAATGGTAATATTGCCCGATGCCGAC